GCAGCGGGGCCGCCAGCGTGGAGTGCTGCACCTCACAGGTGAGCTGCGAGTGGACGTTGTCCTTCTGCAGGGTCACCATCACTGTGCTGGACATGTTGTAGGTTTTCACCCTCCATTCAGTGATCTGGGGCTGCTGAGCCATCACGGGGCCCGTGTTGTTGAACCATTTCACCACAATCTCTTTGGGAAAGAACCCTCCAGTTGTGCAGGTGAAAGACACCGACTGCCCCGGGCTCACTCTCTGCTCAGGCCCAGACACGAGCGGGGGACTGGGTTTGGCTGTGGGGAGAAGCACGGGGCATCAGACCAGGCTCTGGCCCCTGCCCAGCCCTGGGCCTGCCTGGAGCAGAGTCTCCTAAAGGGCACAGGGATGGCTCATGGGATCCTCCCCCGGACCACCCCCGAGCCCCTTCCCCATCCCTGTGCTACCTGAGCAGAGCCCGCTGGGCTGGTTCCCATCAGGAGCTGCTCCAGGAGCCCCACTCACCTTGCACAGACACCTCTGTGCCACTGCCACGCTGAAACACCTCATCCTGACCAGTGTCCCCCTTGGCAAACTTCACACAGTAGTAGGTGCCCATGTCCTCAGGCTGAACGTTGCTGATGTGGATGGTGAAGTCTGTGTTGGACCCATCCACTGCTCTCGTCACACGGGGTAAGGGCCCCTTCTGGTCATAGATGGTTTTGTTTTCACTGCCCCAGCCCTTCAGCCATCCCACAGCACCTGCTACAGCCGCTCCAGACATGGTGCAGTTCAGGGTGAGAGTCTCCCCTGCTGCCACCGACACCTTGTCCTGGGGCTGGTGCAGCCTGAATTCCTGGGCACCCACACCTAGGCACAGTGACAAGAAAGTTTGGAATTGACAAGGGGCCCTAGGGCTGGAGCACAGCACGAGGCATCATCAGACCCCAGCCCTGAACCTGGAGCAGGCGACAGAGAGATATTCCTGTCCCTTGTCCCCCAGCTGCTGGGGACTGAGGGATGAGGAGAGTCCAGACTCTTGCTGGAGTAACTGAAGTTCATCTAGAGACAAAAGCAAGCTGGAAGGGAGGCATCAAGAGGAGATCCCTGGATAGCCATGGGCAGAGGGAAGGACTGCCAGGCCAGCAGAATGCATAGGAATCATGATGGGGCTGTGCAGGCCCCACTTACCTGGATCTCTGCAGAGCAGGAGCAGCATCAGGCACACGAGAGGCAGTTCCTGCATCACCAGAACCATGGGTATTCCACGTCTTGCTCCCTGATGGCTGGGCTTGGCTCAGCTGGATCAGGCTCCGTTGCACTCTGCTGGACTGGGCTCAGCTGACTCAGCTACACTGGGCTTAGCTTAACGGGGTGCTGGGATCTCACCCAGCAAAGGGGAAGGAAATGGGCCACGACCAGTCCAGTTCCTCCATGCAATCATGTCCCATTTGCTTCTCGAAGCCCACATGATCTCCTGTCACAACGCTGGTCCATAATGGCAATGTCCTCCCCACTTTCCCCTCAGATGTGCCAGAGCCACGGCCTTGGGCACAGGCACTGAGCAGCCAGCCAGAGCGACCCTGCATGCAGCACGCTGCCCCACACATGGCCAGCCTGTGGCTCAGCACGCTGTGGTGCCAAGG